TCTTGCCCCCTTTTTGGGTTAGCTTTGGTGTATGAAGAGAAGGCCCAGCCTCTTTCTTTGGCACGTGGCCGTCTGACTTCTTAGCACTGTTGGTTAAAGAGGCGCTTCCCATTGTGTGACCTGGCATCCGTGCGAGATCATTGACCGCATACATCAGTGGGCTCTGTTTTGTCCCATTGGTCCTGCATCCTGGTCTTAATTCTAGCACCACAATTTGTACCTTTATGACAGGCTGTAAAACAGGAAGGGAACAGCTTCCAGCTTTATTTTTCTTTTTAAGATTGTTTTGACTCTTTCGATTCATATTCTGTGCTTTTTTAAGTGCTTTTGTGTGTGTGTGTGTATGTGTGTGTGGGTGTGCACACGCACTGGGAATGGAACCAGGTCTTTTGTACTGAGCTAAATAACCAGCCACCCAAATGTCTATCTACTACCTATTTATTTAGAGACAGGGTCTCACTGCCTAGGCTCTGTTTGGATTACAGGCACATGCCAGCATATCCAGCAGGATGGGTTTTTTCTATTTCTGAAAAAAATGCCATTAAAATTTTAAAGGTTAACTTTCTAGATTGCTTTGTATGGTACAGATAGTTTAACAATATAAAATTTTCCATCCCATGACACCAGATGCCTTTCCATTTATTTATGTGATACTTAGTTTCTTTCAGCAATATTTTATAGTTTTGATGTATATGTGTTTCACCTCCCTGGTTCCCTCTATTCCTGAATATTTTATTTTGCAGCCGAGGATGTAGATTCTCAGTGATTCAGTGCTTGCTAAGCATATGAAACACTTTGGTTTTGATATATTTATTTATTTATTTATTTTGGTTTTAGTAGTGGGAACTAAACCTAGGGCCTTCTCACTGAGTTACATTCCTTACCCAATTTTAATTTTCTCTCAGACAGAGTCTCACTAAATCATTAAGTTGCCCAGGCTGGCCTGAAACTTGTGACCCTCCTGCCTCAGCCACCTGGAGTACTGGGAATTCTGGGTGTGCGCACTACACCAGCTTCTCTGCATTTTTGCCAGGAGGTCTGCTGGTGATGACCAGCTTTTGTTTACGCAGTCAGAGGAGGTGGATACCAGCTCCGCAGCAGCAACACAACAGCGGGGCATTTGACTTCGTGCCACTCTTTTCTTCCCCTCCCAGTGGAAAGCCCCTAAGCTCCTGCCCACAGTGAGCCCTGCTGTCATCTGTCTGTGGTATTCCAGCCTGCAGAAGCCACAGGACTCTCTTGTTCTTAGCAGCTGCCAAGTGCCCAGAATATGCCGGTGCCTCACTGGGGCTCAGAGAGAGGTGAGACGTGAGCCAGTCGCTTGAGCAGTTCCCTCGAAAACCAGACGTTGACTGCAATTCTCTTCTCACGGGAGAAGCTATGACCTGACCTTCCTGTCTGATGCACTGTAAAAGAAAAGGCTTTCTTACCTGTTTCTTGGCTTCGAGCTTGCTTAAATATTCAGACTTCTGAAGCAGCCCCTGGAGTTCTCATAAGGCTTTTGGACCACATACTGTTGTTAAATCAGTGTCTCTAGGGGTGAAGTCTGTGTCTCCTCTTCTGCGATCTTCCTCACTGCATGCTGGTGTGTGCATCCGTGCTCAGTGTGGGAGCCAGCACTTCACACGTGCTGGATGCAGACTCTACCGCCAAGCTACACCCTGGGCCCCCTGACCAAAAAAACCTTAGGTCTTTTGATACACTACCAAATTGCTCTCAGAAAGCTTCTTTATTTCACTTGTTAACTTGCTGTTTCTCATTTTAGTGGGCAAAATTAAAATTTTGCATTTAGAAGCTTAGAATGATTTGAATGTTTAAATGAATATTTCATATATAAGAAAGAAGACATGTAACACCTTTGTTATAAGGATATTAAAAAATAAAAAGTAATGATGCCATCATAAAACATTAGAACCAGAAGAGACTGTTCCTGTTGCTCGCACCTATGTAATCCTTCCCTATATGTTAGTCAAAAATACCTGAGAGAAACTAATTTGAGAAAAGACTTACAGTGGCTCAGAGTTTCGAAAGTCTCAATCCAGCGTTGGCTCACGCCATCGCTTTCAGGCCTGAGGCAAGGCGGAAGCATCATGGCAGAGGCTGTGGCAGAAGAAAGCCGCTCACCTCAGGGGCAGCCCAGCAGCAGACAGGGAGCCAGAGAGAAAGAGGCTGAACACAGGACACAGTTCCCGAGAGCTTCCTGGGCTGTGGAACCCACTCCCATCAACTAGATCCTACCTCCGAAATTTCCATTATCTCCACATAATGCCATCAAATTATGAACCCATCAGTGGATAGTTCACTGATGGCTTGGAGCCCTCAGGGTCCAGTCGCCTTCCAGAGGTGAACAGTCCTGCACTGGGGCCACGCCAAGGGACACTTCCTATCTAAACCATAACACTTGCTTTTTCATACGTAATATTCCCTATGTACAACGACTTATTTAATTTTGCTTGTTTTTGAACTTTCAAATGAACGTATCATGCAGCAAGGGTGTTCTGCCTTGCTTTTTCCACTTCACATGTTTCTAAGGTTATAAGAGATAATTTATGGGCCATTGTGTTGTTTACTTTGGAAATTATCCTCATCAACTTTAGTACAGGCATTCTCTTTCTGGTATAGAAAGTTTCAAGATTCCTTCTTACTCTAAATTCTATGATTGTAAGAGTTTCCTCTTAGAAAGTATTAAAAGTTTCATTTGGAATTTTTAGTGTTAATTGAAACTTCAAAGAGATTTATTTCCAACTTTTTATTTTCTGGACCTGTTTATTGTGTAATGTTCCTCAAGGAAATAGCAATCTTGTGGCGAGATGAGAACATTAATTTCAAAAATGGTATCATCTTATTATTTCAGCATTAAACCCACTCCCCTTACAAATGCTTATTGATCCTTTTGTGACTGCCCACCTGTGGCATATTGCTCCATGAAAGTTGATTAAAAATGATAAAATAATAGCAATCACAGTATTCCCCCACCGTGTTTATAGTGACAGCTCTTTAAAACTGTACTATGAGGGGAGCTAAAGAGGTTGAAACTAATCAAAATGTTATGTTTATGTATGAATCTGCCAAAATGAAACCTATTAATCTGTATATAACCAAGGTACACTAATTAAAAAAAGACGTGGAGAAAACTGTACTGTAAGTTGGGCATGGTAGCACACATCCGTAATTCCAACTACTCTGGAGGCTCAGGCAGAAGGGTCACAGACTCAAGGCCAACCTGGGCAACGCAGCAAGACTCTGTGCCCTCCCACACCCAAAAACTCACGTTTCTCCTGAGCAGCCAGCCTTCTTTAAGAAGTCAGTTTCCTTCCTTAAAGGTTCATTCTTGCCACAGGATTTGAATCCTTCAGGCTGAAATCAGACATTAAGACAACAGAAGGATTTGGGGTAACTGAGGGAGCTCTCAGGGTTTTTTTGCTAACGTGAAAAATAAAGCAAAAGAAGCACTGCCTAGGTCAGTGTCTTTCAAGCTTTGTTGACCTGAGCTCAATCAGGTACATGTACATTTCCGGGCAGAAAAAATAGCCTTTATTCTAATTTTTTAAAAAAGGGGGAACAGAATAAATATAGAAACTCGCTGAATTAAGGGATTTTGTTTTCCAATAATACCAATCAGAGAGGAAAGAAATGTAGTATTTTGATTAAGAAGTTAGAGAAAACCTAGTTTGAGTCAACTGGCCAATCTCAGCATGTGGAGCTGTTAGGTCTGGGTAATACAGCACTTGCCTCACTTGGGAAAGGCCCTGGCATCAATCCAGCACAACAAAAACAAGTAAGACCATCTTGCTTTAATTTATTCCCAGAAACTATCAATAAATTAAAATATGAACTATACATACAATAAATGAGCTGGTGAGCTGGTGAACCGCTTTCATTAAAAGTAAAGTTTACAAAGTAGAAAAAATGCCATCATTGGACTGAGGATATAGCATAGTAATATGATCCATGCTTTCCATGCATGAGATCCTGAGTTTGATCCTCATACTGAAAAAAAAAAAAAAAGTGGGAATATAAAAAGGAAGAAATAAAAGCGAAGGATAGAGTCATTCAGTTAGAATACATAAAGATACAGCTTAGTTCAGTTCTGTGTGAAAACCTTCAGTAATATAGATGATAGTCTTTTCCCCAAAAAAATGAATGACAGCTATAATTCTTTTTTTCCTAATACTGAGCTATAATCTCTCCCACTATGAGGGGAACGTAGTCAGCTTCTGTGTGACATTCTTCAAATATGTGAAGGCTGTGATTGTGTGCTCTGGTTTCCTGCCACCCAGACTCAGCGTGTCCAGCTGGATGTCGTCTTGCACAAGCTGCAATTCCAGGGCCGTGGGGCAGCCTGAGGGGACCACAGCCCAGCTCTTAGCCACCTCACACGTCCCGCTGCGCTCTTCACACTGCTGTTTCTTTGCCCAGCTGCGTCAGTCAGGGTGACTTCTCAGCTTCTCACAAGTTCTTCTGTACAGTTGAAATCTATGACTAAGTACTTCTATTTTTCTTATGTTCTGAAAATTTAAAACAAAATTTCACAATCAAAGAGCAAGAAAATAGCAGTAGTTATTACTCTGTATGTCATTATCTTCAAAGTAGTTCCACAGCATACAAGACCTAACCCAAGGACTGTTATAAATCTTACAAATTCTCATGTATGTAGTCTTAAGAATTGTTTCTATATAATACAGCTTTCCTACAAGTGCTTTCTTTTAAACAATGATCACCTTCCTGAGAAGCTGGCTTCCAAATGAAGCGGTCTGCCTGTTTCTTGGCAGACAAGGGTGCCTTAAAGATGCGTAAAGTAGGGGCTGGGGATTTAGCTCAGCGGCATAAGCGCCTGCCTTGCAAGCAGGCAGTCGTGAGTTCGATCCCTGGTACCGGTAAAAACGAAAAAGACAAAAAAAAAAAAAAAAAAAAAAAAAAAAAAAAAAAAAAGATGCGTAAAGTAGAGCTGTGTTTTCTCGGCATGTTAAACAAATGGACGTTCACTTTTGTGTTTGCAGATAGCGGCCAGACCGGTGGTGCCGGCAGTAAAGGTGAACGACTAAGTGTCAAGCTCAGAGCTCTGCCTGGGACAAATGAACCTTACGAAAGCAGCAGTAACAGAGAAATAGGCAAGTGCCGGTGCGCCCCCACCCCCACCCCGGCGTCCCCACAGGTGCACCCGGCCAGCTGGAGACGGGTGAGGTGCCAGCGCATAACCAGGGTCGTTAAACATTTGATACACACAGACAAAGCTTGAAATCACGGGGGTCAGCGTGTCTGTTCTGAGTTCACTTTCCACTAGGAGACTAACTAGCTTCTGTTTCTTTTGTTTTTCTCTATTGCTCTACTGTTGCAACCAATTTTGAAACCTAGATGCATCCTACGTGGATCCACTTGGCCCTCAGATAGAAAGACCAAAAACTGCAGCCAAAAAGAGAACTGATGAGGACGACTTTGCCGATGAGGAGTTGGGAGATGACTTGCTTCCAGAGTAATTCACACTTTATTATGTTCTTTTTAAAGAAGTTGCCTTATAAGGAAATACTGATGATAAACTTTGCATTAAATATCCAGACTTTAATTCTGTACACTGTTAAAACTCTATGAGTATTCTGTTCTATGAGTATGGCTTTATATTATTTTTATGGAATAAAAAATTGTGAAGCCAATGCTTTATTTTTTATTTTAAAGAGAAAAAAAGACAAACAATGAAACCAAGTTTCAAAATAGGTTAGTAGTACAGTTATAATAGTTGATACATTATGTATTGTTGTCTTAAGGCAGTATTCAGAGTACAGGATATAGGCAGGAAACCTTGTCTAAACAATAGTAGTAAAAAATATTCTTTTCAAGGAACAAATAGAAGCTAACTCTATAATTAACTCAACTATTTTGTGTGTGTATGTGTGTGTGTGTGTGTGTATATATATATATATATATATATATATGTATGTATGTATATTTTCCCCCTTTCTTCCTTTCACCCTCACAGTTTATCTTTTCTTTTGAAGTTTCTTTCCAGTTCATAATATGTATTGTACATTTCGGATCCTATTTAGTATCTTACACTAGTGAGATAATACAATTTTTACACATACATGTCTGATTAATTTCACTTATGTGTATGGTCTCAAATTGCATCCATTTACCTATGAAAGTCTCCAGTTTATCCTTCTTTATGGCTAAGTAGTGTTCCATTATGTTAAAAGACCACATCTTCTTTATCCATTCCTCATTCATTGGACATTTAGGTTGTTTCCAAGATTTACCTATTACAAATTGTGGTGCTGTAAACATGGGTACACATATATCACTGTGGTATGATGTTTTTAATTCTTCTGGGAAAATACCCAGAAGGGGAATACTTGGGTCAAATTGGACCTCTAATCCTAGTTTTTTGAGGAATCTCTACACTGATTTCCATAGTGGCTGCACCAGTCTATACTCCCAACAGTGGAAAAGGGTTCCTTTTTCCCTACAGCCCTTCAGCATTTGTGATGGGTTGATTTTTTGATGATAGCCATTCTTTCTGGGATGAGATAAAATCTCGGTGTTGCTTTAATTTGCATTTCTTAAGTAACTAATGATGTTGAATTTTTTTCATGTATTTATATTTCTTCATCTAAGAAGTGCATATTCAACTCACATGCCCATTTTTGGATTGGGCCTTTGAATTTGGGGGTCTGAATTTGGGGGGTCTGATTCCTTTTTTTTTTTTTTTTTTTTTGTCTTTTTCCTTTTTCCTTTTTACTGGTCCTGGGGATCAAACCCACGACTGCCTGCTTGCACTTATGCCACTGGGCTAAATCCCCAGCCTGGGGGGCTGATTCTTAATGCTTTAAACCAGTGACTTTCTTACCTTTTTGGTAACACTGGCCCACAGGAAGACATAAATTTTGTGGAACAATCTAGTATTTATGCATATATATATGTGTTAGAGTTTATAAGTCTTTGAAAGTTTTGTCTCATGGGAGGACAATATTATTAAAGCGATTACAATTTGAAGATAACTTAAAGTATGAGAGCAAACACCAAATAATAAACCTGAACTCTTTCCTGTGGTTCCTCTCTACCTTCAGCCCAGTAGTGTGCTCCAGTAGCACAGAGCAGTGACCATTCTAGGAGCGTTTGTTGTCACTGTCTTAGCGTGTGAAGTGGAGGACATGATTGCTTGCATTTTTCTTTAGCAGTGTTTTTGGCTTGCCTAGTCTGTCCAGAAGAATGACAGAGATAGGGCTTACCTTTAACACTACACTGGAAAGGAAAGGTTCCCTCCACCTTTCTTTTTCCTTGCTTGCTTTTTGAAATGAGATTGTGTCATGTTGCCCAAACTGGTCTTAAATTTCTGGGCTCAAGTGATCCTCCCACCTCAGCCTCCTGAGTAGTTGAAACTAGATAAATACTCCTGCCCTGTCCCTCTATCTTTACCTTCCATTGTCTCTTCTGGGTGCATGCTGTTAGATACAGCAGAAAGAAAAGCAAAATTAAACCACATCCTTGATCCCTAAATGAATTAAGGTGTAATGGAGGAGATATCAGTTGTTATGACTCTGTGTGGATGTCCCCCCAAAGCCTCCTGCCTTCATGGGTGAGGCTTTTTAGAGGTGACTGGATGGAGACTGATTGGTGTGCATAGTTCTAGGAGTAGGTAACGGGAAGGCTTTCCCTGCTGTGAGTGCTGCCTGCCCTCCAGAAGGAGCTGCTGAAGTCACTCGCTGCTCCCTGCTCGCTGTCTCACTCTGCTCCTTGCTGCTTGCCGTGAGCTGTTTCCTCTGCCCTCCCACCCCACCTTGGAACCAGTCAGCATGAGCTGAAATTTCTAAAACTATGACCCAATTAAACCTTTCTTCCCTTTTTTTTTTTTTTTTTTTTTTTTTGTTTCAGCAATGAGAAAAGTAACAAAGTTAAATACTTTAAACATCTAGTATGTGCAGAGAACTACTCGTGATTCTGAAGATACAGGGAATAGGACAGATCAAGACACTGCCTTCAGGCAGCTTAAAAACTGGTCTAAATAGGCTGTATCTTATTGGATTTTATTATGTACGATAGTATAAGCAAAAACCTTTTAAAGACAAGGAGATTATACAGAAACCATTGTTCATTTGCTGTTAGTCGATTCTAAATACTCTGTAATGCTGTTATTCTCTTGAATGGTTTTACATTGTTTTGATATACTTAATGCTACAGTATACGAAGTTGTACTAAAGGATTTCAAAGAAAGAGACAATATGGTAACTACTTTTAGGTCAGGGTTATCTGGTGGTGAAACACTATTCTGCTTAAATGGTTATGTTTTGATCTGCACTGTTTTGTTGTTATGCCCTCTTTTATCTCAATCTCCACTCCATTATTTACTTTTTTATCTTTATCCTTTTAATTAAAGGAAAAAAATAGCAGGATATATTATAGTAATCCACTTTGACTTTTCATTACCTTGATTTAAAGCCCTGTATTACTCTCACCATCTGGTTTTTAACTGATGTTCCCCTATTCTGTTTTGATGGATAGTATCAGGTTCGAAAGTTTAGGCATCAGCTGTGAAGATAATGAGATTCATTATGACGCCCATTCTTGTTGACTTTTGTCTACTTTTGAAGACCTACAATGTCTCCAATGTTTTGGTCTTGTCGGTTTTATTCTTTACTGTTTTGTTCAATTGTATTATAACTAACGATATAGGCAATTCTATTAGAGATAGCGGGAGGCATTATGGTAACCATTGTTGATCACCTTGTATTATGTTTTTACATTATCTATTATGTCCACCCTTTTGACTTGACCGATTCTGTTCTGTTATGGCACATTTGGTCTTACTCTCTTCCAAAAAAGTAATAAGAACCGTGGGAGCAATGAAACCCAAAATGTGTAATAGTCATGGTACAAAAGAGAGGAAAAGAAAGTGCTCCAAACTATATAACTGCATGTATATTTAAGTGTATAAGATAGAAAATGATATCACAGAGTTTTACTGGATCAATGAACAGAACTGTTTGCAGTATCATTGATGGAATGTCCACTTTACAAGCTTTAATTTTGTGACTTGAACAATTATTTCTAAGATGACAATATGTAATCCATTAACTAGTGATTTCCTACTGTTCATTTTTTTTCTGTAAATCTGTATAACTTGTACCCTTTCCCTGCTTTTTTTTTCTTTTCTCCTTAAATAAAATTAAAAAAAAAAAAAAAGAAAAAGAAAAAAAAAATCTGGTGGAAAAGACTCTAAAAACATTTAAGGAATTTTAAATATTAAGTACAGTTGAGAAAATAAAGTGGAGTGATGTCATAGGGAGTCATTTTGGTGGAAAAAGGGCTCCAAGAGTGACATTGTATTCACCCTAGAGTGATAAGTATTCTAGGCAGAAGAAACAGCAGGTGCCAACACCCTGAAAAGAAAAATTCTGGATGCGTTAGTGATTGAGTTAGGGCTTGGGGATTACCAGTGTCAGTGGTGAACTGTATACCTACAGGGAGGTGAAAGGCGATGAGAGCCAAAAGGTAGACAGGGGCCAGATGGTGGACAACTTTATAAAAAGAGTTTGCCTCACACTCAGGCTACAGCGGAGCCCTTTGAAGGTGTTCTGTAAGGATGCGAGTGATTCGCTGTCCCTTAACCGTTAGAGCCAGCACTCACACTGGTGCCATGAAAATGAATTGAGGAGGGTGGGTGGGGGCAACGGAAGAATTAAAAGTACTAGCCACAGCCTGAGTAAGAAATGAAGGAGACTGAGATCAGAAGTTGTGGAAAGTGGTCAGATTGAGCGTATAATCAGAGGCAGAGCTGAAAAACCTTCATGCATTGTAAGGGAAAAAGGAAGTAATGATGCCAAAGTTTGTCTGAGGCCATGAGTATAAACTTAGGAGTGTATATTGGGGGAGAAATCGGTGATCTAACCATGTTAAATTCAAGATATCTCTTAATAAACTTTCAATTGGAGATGCAAATACACCATTAGGTTTATGAATCTGGAAGTCAGAGTGGTGGGGATGAGAGACAGACTTGAGATCACCAATATACAGATGGTATTTAGCACCGTGGAACCCCGAGCTCTAAGAATGAGGACAGAGTGAAGAGCTCTGTAAACAGCGAGGCCTGGAGTGCATTTAAGAGTTTGGGAGGAAAAGAACAGCCAAGCAAGACCCTGAGAAAACCAAATGATGGTTTTCATTTCAAAACCAAATGAGAAAAACAAATGATGCAGGGGTTTCAAAGCAGTAGAACTTCAGTTACAGGGATGCAATAGCTCATGGCAGTAGCATTGCTCCCCTGTAACTAAAGTTTTTTAAAAATTGGGTAAGGCATGTAGTTCAGTGGTGGAGCACTTGTCTACCAAGCAGAAGGTTCTGGGGTCCCTCCCCACACCACAGGAAAAGAAAAAGTATAGCAGAAATGTTCAGTGGCGCTGAAGAGGTGTGGATGCAGTAACACTAAAATTCAAGAGAGGAAGGCTCTAGATGATCTGATGATTCTGATTATTTTCATCTCAGATGTTTCCCATTTCTGAAGTCGAGCTGACACGTGGGCTCAGCCTAGGAAAAGGGGATCTACTGGAAGACAAACTAACAGAGTTTTGGGTGGTCAGATGGAGTGGTATGACATGTTGGAAGCATAGAGAATTCCCAAATTTACCACTGGTTTTCTACCACAAAGCATTTTCTGGAGTGGTGCTCCAGCAGGGGTGACGCTGAAGGCTAGAAAACAGGGGTAAAGGCCCTTGGGGAGTTGCTAAATCTCCTACCATCTGACAGTCCTTTGGGAGAAAAAGTGCTGCCGGAGGGGAGAATTTTGAACTGATACACAATTACTTTATCCACGAAGGCACGAGACATTTTATAAATCTGTGTGGAGAGTCTAAATTAAAAACTCAGGTATCAGTTGACTCACTTTCCCTCTTTTACAGCTGAAGAGACAAATCTGCCTGGCTCAGTAGAAAACCTAGAAAGAAGACATGGACCACAGCACTGACTTTAAAACTGCAAGCCACCTCAAGCCCTGATTGGATTGGGAAAACTAGTTCTCAATTCTCTCTGCACTGCAGAGGAAAAACTGAATTTATCTGATCGTATAACTTGTAATCCATGTAGTTTAAGTGAAACAGAGTCTAGCATACAATAAATTGCTGGACATGTAAGGAGGAAAGGAGATGTGATAAGTGACAAAGATAAAACCCAAACAGAGAGGCCTAAGGTAACCCAAATAATGGATGTAACAAAAAATCTTTAAGATAACTATGACTGGTATGGTAAGTAAATAGATAAATACTGACAAAATGGATGATGACATGAGAAAAGAGTATTAGAATCTGAAAAAGAGCTGAAAAATACAATACTGACAATAACTTACTGATGGATTGAACAGTGGACCAGGCACAGAAGTCACAACAGTCATGGAAAGTGTATAAACTGAAGCACAAAGAGCAATGAGAATGGAGAAATAAATCAAATGACAGGAGACGTGGGACATGGTCAGGAGTTTGAGTGAGTATGACAGAAATCCCAGTAGGACAGGAAGTAGAGATAGGACGGAAATAAATTTTGAAGAAACAGTGTCTTAAAGTTTCCCGAACTAATGACAGATACCGTCCTAGTTGTTTCAAGTGAAGAGAGGTTTATCTTGGCTCACAGTTTCAGTCCATGGTCCACTGACCCCAAGGCAGAAATGACATGGTGAAAGGGCATGATGGAGAAAACCTGTTCCCCATGGTGCAGGATTAAAGAGAAAAAGGAGAAACTGGGAAGGGACTGTCCCTTCCAGGTCATGCCCTCAGTGGCCCACTTCTCCCAAACATGCCTCGTCACCAGCATATTCAGCTGTGAACTTGCCCGTGGAGTGATCCAGTGTGAGCACAGCATCCCATGACCCAGTCACCTTCCAAACCCCCAGCTTTCAACATATGAGACTTGGGGGACACATAAAATTCTGTCCCTGGCTCCCAAAAAACTCATGTTTGTCGCTTTATACAAAATTCATTTAGCCCATCTGTAAGTTACCAATGTTTTAACAGTTCTGGCATTGTGGAAAAGTCCAAAATTCCTGAGACTCAAGACAAACTCTTAATGTGAGCCCCTGTAAAAATAAAAAAATATTTCCAAAATACAGTGGCACAGCATAAACATTTCCATTCAAAAGGGAGAAATAGGATCCAAATATGATCCAAAAGGGAGAAATAGGATCCAAATTCCAGAGGGAGAAATAGAATGGGGCCAAAGTAAGGCTGAAACCCAGAAGGACAAACATTAAATTCTATACACACATCCAGCACATGGGGCAAGCTGTGGGAAAAGGTGAGCTTCAGAGCGCCTGGGTGTTCTGCCTCCTGCCTGTGGTTTCTCTCAGCAGACGTGCCAAATTTCTGGTGTCTACAAATCCCTGGAGTCTCCACTGTACTTTCAACTTTATGCTCACAGATTCACCCTCTCAGGTATTCCTCTAAAATATTACTGGAAACCTCCGTAACCTCATAAGTCTCGCCTTCTACATGCCTGAAAAACCAGCACCACACGGAGGATGCCAAGTTTACCCAGACTGAGGGATAGCCAGGTCCCTTGTTTCATGGCTGCAGAGGCCTCTGAATGCCTGGATGGTTGACATTGGTGGCACACATCCCTAGATGGGAATTCTCAAGCAGCAGCTCTTCACAAGTGGAAACTAAAGTTTTGCACCCTTGATTCTGCAAAGATTAGGATATTGCTGACTCCTGAAATGTTCCAGCCAACTTTTCTTTCCTTTTTTTTTTTGGTCTTTTTTATCGGTACCGGGGATCAAACTCAGGACTGCCTGCTTGCAAGGCAGGCACTTATGCTGCTCAGCTAAACCCCCAGCCCCAGCTAAACCCCCAGCCCCCAGCCAACTTTTCTATTGCCAGAACTAAAGTACTTGAGGAGAGCAGCCATGTTCTCCTTTATCCTAATTTTGCAGGCACTTCCTTTCTGGTGAAATTAAAAATTTGTAAATCAGCCATCTCTGTTTTTTATGTGCTTGCTTTGGCAGCACATATACATCTCTGTTTTTTACTCCTAAAAACAGCAAGCAGTACCCATACCATAGTTTGAAGGTTGAACTGCCTTAAAATTTCCTCTACCAGATTAACCCATAACCCTTAACCTTAGTTTCCCCAAAAGCCTCAGGACGTGGGCAAAATGTATACAAATTACAGTGTAATCACATAGCCTCTAGTCCAGCTGCCAATGCAGTCCTCATTCCCAACAGAAACCTCTTGAGCCTGCCCTTTACTGTCCGCATTCCCATCCAGCTATGAACTCATCAGTGAATTTACAAATATAATGCCCTTGTGACCCAACCACCATCAAAAATTCCACCTCTGAAGATATGAGATTTTGGAGAAAATTCTAAATCTAACCCATAGCAAATATCAACCCATAGATTCAAGAAGCTCCCCAAACAGCAACAAGGGTAGATATAAATAAAACTGTACCACAGATGTGTTTAAGCTATTAAAAACCAAAGACAAAGAAATTGTTTAGGATAGAAAGAACACATTATTTTCAGAAGAAAAACAAGACTAACAGCTGACTTCAGTAGAAACTATGGAACCAAAAGACAATAGAATAACATCTTTAAAGTGCTAAAAGGCAGAAACCTGCCAACCTAGAATTCTATCTCAGTAAATATACCCTTTAAACTTTAAAGACTTTTGGATAAACAATATTTGAGAAAATTAATTACAAGCAGACTGGCTCTACAGGAAACACTAAGGTGAAAGGGAAGTGATTGTAGAAGGAAACATGAAATGGCAGAAAGGATGAAAAGCACCAGAAGGTTACAACTAAGATGTGCAAGAATACTGACCATTTTAAAAATGACAATAATAATGCCTTGTGGATTTTTTTGTTTTTATATAGAAATAAAACATAAGATAATACTTAAAAAATTGGGATTTGGTGTTAAACTTCCATAACATTCTTGTATCACTTAATAGTGCCAGGCTGTAATAAATCATAGATGTTAAAGTCTCTAGGTTCCCCACACACGCTGAGAACAAAAAATGTAAGCTAATAGTTCATAATAGCTCCTTGTCACTATTATGAAATGCCTGAGGCAATTAACTTCTAAAGGGAAAGGTTTATTTTGGTTCATGATTCTGGAGGTACCAGTGCAAGATCAAGTTGTCCCATTGCTTTGGGCTCCTGGCAAAGGCAGAACATCATGGCAGAAGCATGAGGTGGAAAAAACCATTCATCTTATGATCCAGGAAACAAAATTTGAGATGGGAAGGGGTCAGAATCCCACAAACCAACAATCCCTTCAAAGGTATTAGTTTAGCTATAAAACAGCCTCCAGAGCCTCATGATTTGGAAGGCGATTGGATTATGGGGCATTATAGTTGACCTACTGTAAGGAGGTGAGGTCTGATTAGAGAGGCAGGTCACAGGGCATGTGATCTGGAAGGGCAGAACTTCCTTTCCAGCTCTTCCCTTGCCTCTGCTTCCCCGCTTGCCACAATGTGAGCAGCTTTCCTCCTCCAAGTCCTTGCACCCTGGCTTTCTGGCTAGGTGTCAACTATAGACTAAAAACATGAGGCCAAAGTACCCCCTCCTTTAAATTGTGGGTGGCATTTATTTTCTCACAGCAACAGGAAAGTAAGGCAAACAGCATGCTTCCAATAACCTAAAGACCTTTCGTCAGGCCACGCCACCTAAATGTCCACAGCATTTCCAGTAGCACCCTCCTGGAAACCAAGCCTTAACACATGGACACGCATCCCAATAACAGCACAGTTCAGCTAACAAACATGGGAAGACTGCAGTGAGAATATCACCATCTTGAGATCACCACAACAGAATCTGATAAGGCAAAAACCAATAGAAGCTAAAGCAAGTGGAGAAAGATTTTATGTTGAGTAAATATGATAAAAGATACTACCTTAACCAATGACCAAAATAGACATTACCAATAATGGGACAGATTGAAACCAAGTGCTTCCTGATGTGGAGTACTCAGAGGGCACCAATTAATACGCCTGACCCAGTTAGTTAAGAACCTAGTTAATATCCTGCCAAAAAACGTAACTCAACCCTAATCATAAAGAAGCATCCCAGATTGAGGAGCGTTCTACAATATAACTGGCTCAATCATGTAAAAAATTTTTTGCAGACAATAAACCTTTTTATTTTAAACCATAAATACTGAGCAGGTTGCCATGACTATATATGTTTCAATAAAATCATATAAAACCTAGGTATAAAAGCACCAGTGATCATTGCTCTAGAAAAGCTGCATTAAAAATTTAAGAATACACAGTAGAAACATCATAGTATAGAACTAAAGTCTTAAAGCAGGTACGTGAAATATTGAGTCACACTTCCAATATTAAAGTAGTATTTTACTTCCAATATTAAAGTAGTATTTTACTTGATGAAAAAGAAAAATATCACTAGGATGCGCGCTTCTGGGTTCGGAACCTATGAGCCAGCGGAGACGTCAGCAGCGGGAATTGAGACAGGGATGCAAGAATGATTTAACATTAGAGACTTCCGGAAGAACATGGCAGACAAATAACAGCAGCCACGAGGCCCTCTGAGATTACCAGCTTAGAATCCAGGAGTGGTGCCGGGTGAGGAGTCCTAATTGAGGGGAATGTACCCTGCCAACCCAGGAACAAACTAAGCTGAGAGAAACCAACTGGAAATGCAATCCTGATGCTATAACAGAAACAGATAAAATCTCAGCATGGAAGCTGGATCCCGTGCCATTGGAAGCCGCGATTTGAATTTCCTGCTGCCACTGCTGCGTCCCAATCCGCATGGCAGGGAGAGAGACGTGTGTAAGCTCTGAGAGCGGGAATCTGCAAATGAAATGGCATTGAGAGTGGGACTGGCAGGGAGCCCTGCATCGAGCTGCAATGAGTGAGAAAAATGGGGACCCTTTAATAGACTAGGAGGCTCCAACAGAGGACATTCTGGGAACGGGCAGACTAGCTGGAACAGGACCCTGCAGTGACTTCAGTCGCATATTCCCCTCTCAAGTGGGATTGGTGGGGAGTGCTTGGCCTGGTGATGCCGCGGACTAAGATCCAGTAGGCTAGTCCAAATCAGGTCCCTGCGCCTGGCGGTGCACCCTAGCAGTGAAGCCTTCACTAGGTTGATCTGGTGGGACGGACCCAGCAGAGGCTGCCCAGGTCTGTGTCTCCCTAGTACACTGCAGTGGGCAGGAACACCTAGCCAGCGGATTCAAACAAACTGTAACAGACAAAGAGAAAAAAAAAAAAAACTGGGCCTCCTACATACGCTTGTATGGAAGGAACAAAAAGTATGGGAAGAGGAAGCAACAAGAAAGGGTCCTCAGACTCCAATCCTGAGGACACTGATCCAGGAAAGGTAAATGCAAAAGAGAACGAAGACAGAAAACATGCAATATCAGAGATGGCACCAATAGACATAAAGCAGTATCTCCAGAGCCTCATAGACGAGTTCAAAAATGAAGTATTTAATGAAATAAAGCAAGAAATAAGTAGAATAGTTAGAGAAATGCTAAGCACCACCCAAGAAAAAACAGATGGTGGAATGGAAGAACAGAAAAAAAGGAGAGAATTGTTTGGTGGAGAAAATAGAGAAAACATAGAATATGTGAAGCAGGTTCAAAGAGATTACCAGGAAACTAAAAACTCTATTGAAAACTGGCATAACAGCTTGAAAGAAACTAAAGATAGATTATTAGAACTGGAGGACAGATTTGTAAGGTGGGAGCATGAAATGAAAAACTTCTTAAAAATAAAACAAACAGCAATAATACAAAGGCTAGAAGATGATGAGGATCTATAACTTAAGAATTAAGAATATAAAAGAAGTAGGGACACAAACAAATCAACTACAAAAGCTATTCACAGAAATAATCTAGGAGAATTTTCCTAATTTAGCAAAAGGTAAAGATATTCAGATATATGAGGCATACAGGACCCTAGCCACCTACAACCCAAACAGAGCTACACCCAGGCATGTAATAATCAAAATTCCAGAAATCCAATATAAGAACAGAATATTAAAAGCCATCAGAGACAAGAAACAGATCACTTACAAGGGAACACCCGTCAGAATTACAGCACACTTCTCAGCACAAACTATCAAATCACGAAGAGCGTGGGGGGGGAATAATTCAAGCTTTGAAAGATAATAACCTCCAGCCAAGATTGATATATCCTGCACAATGTCCCTAGAAATTGATGGAAAAACAAGGTGCTTCCAGGATAAAGAGGAACTAAGGGAATTTGCAACCACCAATTCAACTCTACAGAGATTACCGTAGGATATTCTAAAAATGAAAAATACCAAGATTCCAGAAACAGTGGCAGAGAGGCCACAATGAATGGAGCAGAAAGTGAAATGAAGAAAACAAACTGACAACTAATGACAGAAAAAGAGCTCAACAGAAATGAGGCAGAGAAGGTTGGATGGTAGTTACAGCCATTTTGGAGAAAACAAGACATCATAATAGGTAGTGCTGATTTAGTATGCTCTTGTTTTGAAGTCCCATCAAGCTTTTGTTCTTCTGTCTCCATTGGTTTTAACCTATTGTATCTTATTGGATTTTATTATATGTGATAATATAAAAACTTTTATAGACAAGGAGATTATACAGAAACCATTGTTCATTTTCTGTTAGTTGATTCTAAATACCCTGTAATACTGTCATTCTCTTGAACGGTTTTACATTGTCTTGATATGTTTGATGCTACAGTATACGAAGTTATACCCAAAGATTTTAAGGAAAGAGACACTATGGTAACTACTTTTATGTCGAGATTATTTTGTGGTGAAACACTATTTTGCTTAAATGGCTATGTCTTGACCTGCGCTGTTTCATTGTTATGCCCTCTCTTTTATCTCAATCTCCTTTTTATTATCTACTTTTTCATTTTTATCCCTTTAATTAAGGGAAAAATAAATAAAAATAGCAGGAGATATTATAGTAACCCACACTGATTTCCTATTAACTTGATTTGAAACCCTGTATTGCTCTCACCATCTTGTTTTGACTGATTTTCCTCTATTCTGTTATGCTTATAGTACCAAGTTCGAAAGTATAGGCAACAACTGTGAAGACAATAAGATTCATTGTGACGCCCATTCTGGTGACTATTATCTTCTTTTGAATGCTTCTAATGTCTCCAATGTTTTGGTTTTATTGGTCTTGTTCTTTACTGTTTTGTTCAATTTTATTATAACTGGTGATATAGGCAATTCTTTTTAAGATAGCAAGAGGCATTTGGTAACCATTGTTGATCACCTTGTATTTTGTTTTTACATTATCTATTATGTCCATCCTTTTGATTTGACTGACTCTGTCCTGTTATGTCAAATTTGGTTTTACTTCAAAAAAAAATAATAATAACTGTGGGAGTAATAAAACCCAAAATGTGTAATTGTCATTGTACAAAAGAAAGTGCTCTATCACTGCATATATATTTAAGTGTATAAGATACATAACCACATTACTGAGTTTTGTTGGATCATTGAACAAAACTGTCTGCAGTTTCACTGTTTGAAAGTCCTTTCTATATGCTTTAATTTTGTAACTTGAGCAACTATTTCTAAGATGACAATATGTAATTAACTAATGATTTCCTACTGTTTATTTTTTGAAATTCTGTATAACTTGTATGCTTTTTCTGGTTTTTTTCTTTTTTTCTCCTTAAAATTAAAAAAAAAAAAAAGAAAAATATTCATCCTTATATATTTTGTATGCCAACTAGTAGAGCCCTAAGAAATTAAGAAAAAATAACAGAAAAATCAAGAATCAAATA